GGACTAAATTGAGATTTTTCAACCAAAGTGGGGACTAAATTGGCTATTAAACCTTATTACTTTCAATCAAAGAGTGCAGCGCTAAATATTTTAAGTCCAATAATATGTACGAATAATTTCATTCCATAAGGGGTCACATGAACATAGATGAGACCTTTCATTAATTTAATCACAAACAGGCTTCAAATATCAATCAATGTTCTGTTCAAACAGTGCTTCCTATAGTACGCTTCTCTGTCTGTCCTCTTACCAACTTCAGAAAAAGAAAACTAAAAATAATAGCTGTCAAAAGATTCATCACTATTTTAAATTTAAACTCATGATCGAACTGTTGTTTCAAGAATAGCCTCCCCCAGTTATGAGCACAAACGAAACTCCAATGATGTTTAACCTAGTACATCTGCTAAATGTAGTCCAACATAGCCAAAAGAAGATTCAATGATATAGTAAATATTGAACAGCAAGACTTTATTTATTCTGGGACCAAAGAAAAATTAAAACTTTCTGAAAGAAGAAAAAGGGCTCGGTTGGATCATCAATCGGTGAAGTTTGTGATGCAGGCGTGAGGCTCAGTAGCCTTAGCAGCTGGAGATGGCTCAACTGCTGGTGAAGGTTGAACAGGGTTCCCAAGGAGTTCAGCAGGCAAATCAGGAATACCCTTCAAGTAGAAGGTGTAGAACAACTTGAAAGGGAACACAAGTTGTTGAAGTTTGACTTGTCCATAGACACCTTCAAAGATTCCAGAACCTCCTGTAACAGCAAGGTATGTGTCTTGGTATGTGAGATAAGCTCCTTGAACTGATATATGGCCATAGTCTCCGAAGTAGAAGCTGTAAACGGCCTCATATCTGTCCCCCTTTTTCTCCGGAACATGCTGTATGAGCACACATAAGCCTGCAGTTATCCCTAATCTCTTTTCCAAGTTTCCAGAGTATAATTTGTTGCTGAAAGGCACTAAATCTCCTAAAGAGTTCACTTCCTTCTGGCTTAGCTTCAGAAATGCAGGGCTGCCTCTGTCCCTTTCATTGATCTCATAGACAAAGAGTTCTTGAACTTTGACTGATAAATGAACAAATTTATTTGTGAGGAGTGCTAGCTAGTTCTCTACAACTAATGTTAAAAAAATGCTACTCAAAGCGATTGCAGAGAGGAAACTAGTTCTCTAAGCACTTACCTGGCTTTTGAGAATCTTGATGCTGCTTTTGGTTATTGAAGAAGAATGCTGTGGTTGTGATGTGGTTGGTACTTCTTCTAGAGGTGGAGACAAGACTAGGTGAGAATTTTAATGTTTTTGTTGGGAGGGATTGAAAGAGACTAGAACCTACTTTCTTTCGGCTTTGAAGAGGAGAGATAGAACTTGAACGGGAGAGTTTGAGGGAAGAAATCATTTTCAGAGAGCTCATGGAAGCCATTGATGGTGATGAATGACTCGCAAAGGAGCTTTATAAATGGAAAACTCAGAATATTATTGCTTTAGCTTTTGAAACGTGGATGTATTTTGGGACCTGTGAAAGGAAAATGAACGCTAAGGTTAAAAAAAGAGGCCCACTAGTGCTTTTGTTTTTTCTCCCAAATTAGGAGTTTTCTTTTTACCATCTTCGTGAATTTTCTTTCCCTGGTCCTTTTTCTCAAGTATTAGAGTAAAAAAAACTTGGACATGTCACGTTTGGCTGCTATTTTATATTTTAATATATATATATATAATTCCATACGCATAAATATCACACTACTCACGCTTGGTCTTTCTTTATTAGAAAATGTAACTAAATGTCAATAAACTAGGTTTCATGATAAGTTGGTACTCCTTAGCTACTGCTGCTGTTAATTTAATGTGCAAAACCATGTAATAGCTTGGATTCAATAAGAAACATGTAACGGCTTTTACTTCCTGCACCCCACAACTTTTTCTTGCACACCTCATATTTTTCAAATAAATATTTTAGCTATTAAAAATAGTGACTTTCGGATTACATATTTCTGAAGCTCTCCGGAACATTTTTAAAACAATTTTTTTGGAACAAAATATTTGAAACGTGATCTTCATAGCGTATGAAATATGTTTAAAAATCATTTTTTTAGTCTTCCGCTATTCTTCTAGTGATGTGTTGAAGGCAGTGGTGGTAGTGATGATGTGGTGTGGTGTTAACAGTGAAGAGTGATTTTCTCAGTATTGGGAGGTTGCATTTAGTAATTTAGGGGTTCAGGAAGCAATTTCCCTTACAGTACTACTCGATTTAACATATGTCCAACCCAATTCCAATTGCACAGTGCTGGCAAGCTGAAAAGGCATTTTTGTCCTTATCTTCCTCCTCCCTTTTCCCCATTTTTTTCTCATTGTCACACCGCCAACACTAACATTGTCTCGGGGGATTATTACTGAATGGCAAGCCGCACATCGATTTTTTATCGATTAAGCTTTTTCTAATTCTAAATTTCTCTATATCAATATGAAATTTAATTCGAGATTTTTCAATTTTTTTTATAAAACTCGTGTTATACATTATTACGTACTTTTAACATCACAGTTGCATTAACATATCAAAATATATTTATAATTTATCACATGAAAATTTATTTTAAAAAATAACAAAGATAAACAAAATATGGGAAATCATACCAAACCCACGTAGATAAGATGAAACGACCTTCCAAAAGGCATATATAAATCTAAATTTTGAAGAATCCTATTATGAAAAAATTAAGCTTAAAACTCAAGGAGTTCCATGGCTGATGTCTTATATGAAAACTCAGTTTAACTTTTTTTTTCATTAACTTCCTAACATAAAATTAAGCAATTGGTAGCCACTAGTTATCTGAGCAGAGGACTCTGAATGCACTGTCATACCTTCGTATTTTCTGATAGAAATATGTAGTTCTTAGTATATGTCTCTAAACTGCTGCCATCATATATGAAATTTTATGCACTAGAGAATTCGGTATTGTAGCTCCGGAAGACAGTCTTTAGTTGCCTGAGCATAGTCTTCCAAAACCAAATTGATTTTAAGGCACATATTTACAATTTAGACACAAACTTTACTCAGAATTCATAACACGGTGAAGTCAAATTAAAAGAACAATTACCATATCAACATGTAGTCAAAATTTCGGCTCCAGTCTTGGTTATCAAAATTGTATGCTCAAACTGTGCAGCTGGACTACCATCAGCTGTTAATGTTGTCCAGTTGTCTGGCCATGTAATAGACTTAATGCTTCCCATAGAAAGAATCGGCTCTGAAATTTAAGTAGAGTTCATAAGGGATCAAATCCTTAAAAGACTAAACACCCAGCTTCATCAATAGAGAGCAAAGGGGAGATATCAGGTTGGTTTAATGGTATAGGTGAATGAAAGGAAGGAGGGATCGATTCTAGGTGAATTCCGCCACTAACAAAAACTAACATATTAACAATAAAAAAAAATGCAGGGCAAACCACAGATATTCAGAATCAGCACGAAACTAATGGCAAATGATTTAGATTGTCATTTTCATTTGAACACAAGATCTACGGATGAGAAGGACACGGCTAATGAGGAAGCGTAGCACAAACACAATTGTCATGGCATCTGCATTGGCTTAGTTTAATAACAGAATTTCACAATCTCATACATTCTGAAATGGAAACAGGTGGATACGAACAATAAAGGTATCACAAAATTTTGCAACAAGGACAATTTTAATTCTAAAATATGATGTAACAATTTTTATTTCATGTAGAAATGTTGATGAATCTCGAAAAAATGCTATAGCACCCACAGGTTGACATAAAAAAAGGAATGAGTGAGTAAAAAATATTCACGTTTTTGTTGTTACATGAGTAGTTAATGTAAAACTTGTAAGTCACTCCCCTCACGATATATATATCTTGTTAAATATAATGAAAAGCATGTATGGGGTTAATCTCCCTTATATATATATTGTTAAAAACAATATCTACCAATATTAAACAATATTAAAAGTCTATGTTTTCCTAATTAAAATAAAATGTAATATATCGAACATATATGTTTCTCCAATTAACATAAAGCAATATATCTAACACTCTTTCTAAAGCTGGTGCATATACCAAGCTTATTACAAATATAATCAATTCTCAATCTCCTTAAAGACTCAATGAAATGATAGTTTGAGTTAATGAACTCAGTCTTGATGTCTCCAGATACAATATTTTCTCGAATGAAATGACAGTCAATTTCAATGTGTTTGGTCATTTCATGAAAGACAGGATTAAAACTGATGTTAAGAGTCGCCCGATTGTCACATATAAGTGTTATTCGAGTAATATCTCCAAATTGTAATTCTCTAAGCAATTGCTTAAGCCAATCAAGTTCACAAGTGGATGAGGCCGTAACTCTATATTCTTCTTTGGCACTATATCTTGCCACAACACTTTGTTTCTTGCATTTCCAAGAAATCAAGTTTCACCAATGGAGACACAATACCCGAAGGTAGATCTTCTATCAGAAGGAGATCCTGTCCAATCAACATCTGAATAGCAAACAACTTTTGTATGCTTATTAGAACTATATAACAAACCTTTTTCAGTAGATCCTTTAATGTACTTTAATATATGAATGACCGTATTCCAATGATCTTCACATAGGGAATTGCGAAATTGGCTCACCACACTGACTGCAAAGGAAATGTCAGGACAAGTAACAGTAAGGTAATTTAATTTCCCAACCAATCTTCTATATTGCTCAGGATTTGAAATAGGCTCCCCCTGATTTGGTAAGAGTTTGGTATTAGGATCCATGGTTGTGTCAATAGATTTTGAGTTCATCAACCCAGTTTTCTCCAAAAAAGCTCCATCGCATACTTCCTTTGACATATAACAATACCATTGTTTGATTGTGCTACCTCAATACCCCAGAAGTAACTAAGTTTGCCAAGATCTTTAGTTTGAAAATGGTGGAAAAGATGTGTTTCATCTAGGAGATGCCATGGTCGTCACTACCTGTAAGAACAATGTCATCAACATATACTATCAAATAGAGACATCCAACACTTGAGTGACGGTAAAAGACTAAATTATCTGCCTCACTTCAAGTCATACCAAATTGTTGAACCACACTACTAAATTTGTCAAATCAGGCCCTAGGAGACTATTTTAGGCTATATAAAGATTTGCGAAGACGACAAACAAATCCGGAAGACTCCCCCTAAGCAACAAATTCGAGAGGTTGCTCCATATAAATTTCTTTCGATAAATCTCCATTGAGAAAAACATTTTTGATATCGAGTTGATAAAGAGACCATTGTTGAAAAGTAGTCATGGCCAAAAATATACAAATAGAAGTCATCTTTGTCACTGGAGAAAAAGTATCTCCATAATCCATTCCAAAAATTTGTGTGTAGCCTTTGGCTATAAGTCGAGCTTTGAGGCGATCAATAGTACCATCAAGACCAACTTTGATAACAAAAACCCACCCGCAACCAACAACATATTTCCCAGACGATAATGGGATGAGCTCCCAAGTTCCACTATTCTAAAAAGAACATAGTTCATCTAGCATGATCTAACAGATTTAGGAATTCACACAGAAGAAATAAACAAAAGGCATGTATAAAAATGTAAAGAATATCTATGGTAACTCAAAGCAATATAATATGGAGAGGGATTATGAGTATAACGTATACCTTTACGAAAGGTAATTGGAAGGTTAGACTCAGTTTTTGGAGTCGGAAGAGACAAAATAGTTGACACTTAAAGTGAGTCACTTGGTGGTTGTTGGGAGCAATGTCTTCGACTATAAACATGAAGTGGAGGTGGAAGAGGATAATCTGATGGTGGACTAGGCACAACTAGAGAATGACACACAACACGAATATCAACACTCTTGAAGACTTCTACTTTGACAAAATCATACAAGCTACTCTTCAATGAAAACTCTTATAAAGCACTATACCTCTGCAGAAAAGACTAAAGATTGACCTCCCACCCAAAGGCTATTTGTTCTTTTGAAATCAACTCAGCATCCAACGCTCGGATCTTCAGAGAGCCTATATAAAGAAGATCAACTAAAGAGAAAGAGGTGTGTGGGTGGTTGAAGCAGAAAATAGAAGAGATGAAAAATAAAGGAAGAAAAGAAGAGAAGAAAAAGAGAGAGAGCGAGTATGCTCAAGAAAGATCATCATTAGTCAATTCTGCCTCATCTCAAAGCTTATATCGTCTAATGCTCTTCAATTCAAGAAATATGATGAAGATTTGAAAAAGAAATGAAACCATTCTCTATTAGAAGAGAATGAGAAGAGTGATAAGAAAAAATGAAGAAAAGAATCATCATCACATATCTATCTTACTACTTCATCTCAAGCATACAAAGTTTAAAGCTTTCAGAAAGAAAGAGAAAAGAAGAAAAGAGGAGAGAAAGAAAGTTGAGAAGAAAAGAAAGCCTTGTTGAAAATCTACTTTGAAGTTCATCTTTGTGCTCATAACGTCTAACGCAAATTCCAAAAAAGAGAAGAGAAATGACAAGAGAGTCAACCAAAATCAAGTGTATGGCTCTACGCTTATATCTTCTTATATCTTCTGATATCCTCAATCAAAAAGAGAGAGTAATTACAAGATTCTAGGAATGTTTTGTATTAGATAAACATCCTCCTTAAAAAGAGTTATTTTCCATCTAGTAATCAAACACTTGTAAACCAAGGGTGGTTAGAATACTCGAATGCCAAGAGTGGTGAATAATATTCAACCAGTAGTGGGGAAACTCGTTCTAGATGTGTTGTCTAGGGGACCAGGAATGGTGTAAGAATACTTGGACTAGTCGTGTTGACTATGAGATAAAGAGTGGTAATAATACTTGTAACTAGAAGTGGGTAAAACTCGTGTAATCTTGAAGAGATTAGTGAAACCCCTTAAGAGTTGTTAAGGGAGAACTGGATGTAGCTCAAGATTGAGTGAACCAGTATAAAAAATGTCTTATTGTTTTCTTCTTCTAAAAAATATTGTTAAGTTTCCTATGACATCGTTTGAAAGAATTTTTATTTTCTCATCTTATAAACCTAGCATCTAAACATAGTTCACTTCTGTATATTCTCATTACAAGTCATTAGACGCCGCCTTGCGAAAATATTTTGGAAAACATTATTCACCCCCCTCTAGTATTTTCCTGTATACTTTAGTTTATTATGGATTTTTGCAAAGGCATGATGCAAACGCAAAAGTTTCCTAACTGCACTTTGAATTCCTCAGTAGTTAGGTCAACTGCGAAATACATTTTGCATTGATAAATCCATTGATTTGCATTTGTAGCATTGAATATTAGGGAAATTGATTCTAGCCACCCTAGTGCCACAAGCTTAAGGAGCGCAAGAGTGATAACAATGCTTATTAGAACTAGAATCTTGATGAGATGATCCATGATCATGCTCTAAATTGTGATGCCTTCCTCCTCCTGATTCACCATCATCATGATTTTTCTACAACAATTCAGTTAATGTCTCATTCAATGAATTGTGCAATGTCTTTTACATTGCATCTGCCAGTTCCACTGTCTTGGTTTCGATTTTCTGAATAAATGCAAGTTTCCAATCTTTCCTCTACTTCATGCAAAGCTGCTTCAGATCACAAAATTTTCGATGGCTGAAAGAGTGTGCCACAGGAACAAGATTGTCCATACCAGTTGATGTAGTAGCTAATGGAGCACAAGATACTAGGAACTAATGAGCTCAAAAACTATCAAATTGCAGGAAGCTCTATAATAGAAAGAATCTTGAGACTTTCTTCATATTTAAAAAATACAGAGAAGGAGAACCACAATTGTCTATCAAAAGTAAGTGCATCACATCATTTCCATTCTAACTATTTAGAGTTAATTAACTACTAGTTAGTTGTTATCAACTAACTAAATTGGTTATAATTACTTGACAAACTACTAAAATAGTTATTAGTTATCACCTCATATTCTTGGTACAATTAACAATTCACTTACCAATAGTAAATGTTTGACCTTCAACCATGCGGCCTGGCTTTTCATTTCCTGTAAAGAAATGGTACAAAATTAAAAATCTGTAAGGAAAATAGTAACAAGGAAAACAAGAGGGAACAGAGGAGGGCAATCTATGTTGTGTGAAGTTGCATAAATGGTTTTTATATTACATCCGCATTCACTTTGTCGTAAAAACCTCACCTTGCAAGCATATTTTGTAAAATTGGGTTATGCTTAATGTTCATATCCTAATACTTATAAGTAAAGAAATAAAAATATGTTAAAATGAATATTTCCTAATTACTATGGAGATATTGAGAATATTTTTATTCTAATAATATGCTATTTACAACAACAATTTATACAAATGGTTAGAAAACATATCGTTAGTTACTTAAACATATTCATACAACATTAAAAGTTTGACATAGATGTAATGGATTGATTTCTTTTTCTAATTTTCTATCCGTTAACATTTTACCTAATGGAGTCGAATGAATGAAAGTTTCACATTCAATATAGAACTAGAACTGTTAATTCATTTTATGTTTCAATTTTGGGGACTAAACAAATTTTTACATTTGGGGGACTAAAATATAATGACCTATAAAAAGCATTTTCAGAAATTTAAGGAATATAAAAAGGAATTTCATATTTGGAGTGTTAAAAGAAAAAGTGACCTAAAATTTTGAGGAGTTAAAAACATATTTTAGCCAACCATGAAATAAATATTGCAGTTTAATGTAGAGCAATTTTAGACAGTTATGTTATGATTGAAAATCAAAACGATGAAGAAATTAAGCAAGTTAACTGGTCACTTACGATTGTGTAAAATAATTGGTTCTGAGTGGAACACTCTTCCCACACCATGTCCAACAAAACGCTCCACTACACCATAGCCATATTTTTCAGCATGCTCACTGAGATCATTTTTCAAAGAAAAGAAAATGCTTAAAATATATATAAGCCATCAATTACAGATTGTATGATCAATTAACATACACAATTATTGTATTAAGAAATTACAAATAGGAAAATGCATAATTAACAACTTTAACTTCAAAAGAAAGTAGAAAATCCAAAGGCATATATATGTGTGTCTTGGAACTAGAATAATTATCCTAAACGAAAGAACTTTTACCAGATATTATTAAGCAATAAAACTGGTCAACTTTTTTTAAAAAATATAATCTCTATTTAAACAACACTATAAATTATTTATTATTTCTCCTAAATCTATATCATAATTTATACATTTAGAAGTATTCAATTATTATGGACTTCCATGTGTTTGATTTCTATGAAGAAGTTAACCTAACTCAACTCCACAAAACTGACTTGTAAGGTGAGGTTTACATCCACTTATATATTATAAATTCACCTTATCTCTAGTCAATGTGGGACTTCCAACACACCCTCTCACACCGAGGTATATACATCGAGGGACTAGACATTAATGGATGGTCTAATAGTAACCCGATGACAGGTGGAACGATAGACCCAACAAACAACAAATTTCGCTAGGATAGGTAAACTCTAACCCATGGCTCTGAGCCCAAGTTAAGAAGTGGATTTTAAGTCTAACTCAATCCCAAAAAATCAATTAGTAAGGTGAGATTTGCACCCACATATATTGTTACGTACCTGAGTACGTAAACTAGCCAAATACAACCTTTCACACTCTCTCACGTAACATAATAATAAACGAATGATATTGGATGAATGAATTTCTTTTATTGATGGTAATATCTAAATAAACAAGGGTAAACAATAATTGGGAGCATAACCTCCTTCAATTACTTTGAGAGCATAACCTCCCTCACAAGACAATAATGTCTGTCACAAAACTCAATAATCAAAAGCATGTCTTTAACCCTAGACTCAAACTTTATTTATATTAATTATTTCCCGCCCATCTCTTATTAAATATTTCTCTAGAATATATCTGCATTTAATATAAATATCCTTATATTTAATATTTAATATAAATATCCCTATATTTAATATAAATATCTCTCCGTATATTATCCTTAATATCTTATATTGAATATTTCCCTGAATATATATTTATTTACTATAATTAACTTATACTATATTTATTTACTCTAATTAACTTATACTGAATATTCTCTCTGCTTCCCACCGTTCGGCCTGGTCACGCCCCGTTGTCCACCGTCCGACCTAACCTCTCCATGCCTTCCACCGTTCGGGCTAACCTCTCCATGTCTTCCACCATTCGGCCTTTACGGTCAATACCGTTCGGCCTCACTTCCCTCCTACCTTTCTTCTCCTTCTCATTACCTCCCACCTTATACCCTAACATATATACTATAAACTCATCTTATCTCTAGCCTATGTGAGACATCCAACAATTTTAAATACCAAAGAATTTTGTCAACTGCTTCCATGTGTCTTTCTCTCAAATCATGCATAAATTGACTTATTGGACTAATTTCATAAACAATGTCTAGTGTCTTGTGTGATAAATAAATAAGTTTTTCAACCAATCTCTTATATTGGATGTTTTCTATAAGAGAACTCTCCACTTCCAATTTCTCAAAATTAGAAGAAAATAATTTCTCTCTTATTCGGTATCATTACATACATCTAATATATATATATATATATATACACACACACACACACACACACACACATTAATTGGATAATTTAGGAAGCCAGCACAGTCTATTCTGGGAAACAAATCACTGAGATTGTTGGATGATATGCTAGTAATAAAACCAAGACACAACCAATATACAAAACTAAAACCAATAGGATTAAAATCTTAAACTTCCTAAAATATATTGACAAAATAAAATCTAAAACTTCCAAAAATATCTCAACACAATTCTATGATATAGTTCAATAAAAAACCTGAGGTTCTACATCTCATCTTTCCTATTTCATTGAGAAGTTCAAGTAAATATTGTATTATAAAGATTAAAATCCCCCTTCTCTAAATAAGCAACCTTTATTCCAAGGAAATAATTATTTTCCCAAAGTCTTTTATTTCAAAACAAACTGCCAAGTTTTTATTTAAAGTCACTTTCTTTGTTTTACAATCTCTTGTAATAATCATGTCATCCACATAGATCAATAGTAGTATAATTTTATCTCTAATGGAGAGTTTAATAAATAAAGTATAATCTTTTTGGCTTTGTTTATAGCCTAAGTGATGACATAAGAGTGAAGTATTTATGATTCCACCCTCCTCGATATTGTTTGAGACAAAACCAAATGAAGAATGGAAGATGAAGTGTTGGAGATCTTGAACCAATAATGTTTTGATCTTGTTTGTCAAAATTGTGGTGCTCATTATGTATTTTAGGAAGTTTTAATTTTATCCTTGCTATAACTTTATTATTTATTACATATGTATCGTGATATTAAATACTAGCATTACATATTTAAAAACAATCCCATCATTACAGGGATTTGTTTCCTTAGGATTAGTTATTTATTTCCTAAACTAACCAACAAAAACATGTACTTGTAGGTCCAATAGCCTCATTATTGAAATATAAAAGGAATATATTATTCTTTCTAAATTTGAGATACTATCAGAGTTCCTTATCTTTTGGAGTCTTGACCGTGTTTATCAATCCTAAAACGCAGCCTTCATTGCTGCACCTCTCTTATCCTGATTACAGCCTTTAGTGCAGCACAATGCTTTTGAATGGCTGAGTTTGTGAATTTTGGAATTGAAATTAGGAACAGATCCCAGACTACTGGAAAATTCCAAAATCTTTATTTTGCTTACAGATTAAATGGAAAAAATGATCTAAAATGGTTTAAACTTATTGTATCCTAAAACGAAAAGGCAAGGTCAGACACCTGACTAATAATGCACTTGATGAAAATGGTTCCATAAATTAGTGATACCAGCATGTTCCTGGGATCAGCAAAGGAAATTTGGGAGGGAGTAGAATAAACCAATTCTAAGGCCAAGGATGCTGCCCAAATTTATTATTCAAGGGTTGTGGAATATAGTGAATAACTAGTTATAAGGTTAATCTCCCTTGTATAAAAAATACACATAGCATAATGTATTTATGATAAAGAGAACGTGGATTAAACCCCAAATACAAATAAATATGTAAAAGTAACAATTAACATAGGGACATGTTTCCCTAATTAACATAAAATGCAATATATATAACAAGGGTAAAAATTATGGCTGCTGAAAAGGGAAGCAAATCAGTTACAAATTATGACAATCAACTTAAGTCTATGGATAGAATCGGATCACTATAGAGTTATAAAAGCATAGTGTTCAGCAGACTTAGCAATCCTAAAAGAGTATGCTGGACAAGATAGAATCTGAGTTTGTGGTTAGCTTGAATCTTAAATATGATCATGTTCGAGTCAAAATTTTGGGAAAAGAGAAGGTTCTAGGGATTATTAAAGTGGTAACCATTATCTAGAGTGAAAAAAGCAGGAGAGGACTGATGTTGGTTACTCTAACTACTGAAAACTCAGCAGCGATAGTTGAAAAAAGAACACCAATTATTTCTAATTACAGAAAAAGTTGGGTTCCGAATTTGGAGAAAAAACATGAGGAGGTTTGTTGCACCTATTGCAACAAGCCAAGTCACACAAGGAAGACATAGTGAAATTTACATGGAAGACCCCCAAGCAGAGAATGGGGCAAAACGGAAGCCAGGATAGAGAATGGGAGCATAAAAATGACCCCAAAAGAGGGTAGGGCAAGGGCAAGCACTCATTGATAATAAACAAAGTGACAGACCTGCCTCTGTCCAACAAAAAGATGAAGACATAGAAAGGGTAAAATCCTTCCCTAGTGAATTGGAGAAGCTCACAAGTACTAACTTTTTAAAATATTCTGATAAGTTTCCATTTTCTTTTGGTCTTAATGCTTCAATTCCACTTTTTACTCATTATTGGATACTAGACCCTAAATTCTAAACCCTAAACAAGAAAATTTCCATAGGAGATATCTGATAACAGCAGCAGGACCAAAAAAGCTACAAATAAGCCCATCATAACCTCCATAAGTGTCTCGCATGTCCCTAAATTGTCCAATAATTTTATGTCTATACAAAAACACAAAAGATCTTTCATTTAAAGTGGTTTTTCATAGCAACTCTTGTATTTTACAAGACAAGAACTCAAGGGATGATTGGACATGCTAGAGAATGGAATGGCCTTCACTACATGGAGAACCCTAATCAACCTATCAACAGTCACTACCTTATATCATAATCCACCATGACCCGTAAAGAGAAAGCTCAACTATACAGAATTGTCAGCTAGGACATCATTTCAAGTTGTAAATTTGAGTTTTCCTTTCTTTCTTAAGAATTTAAAGGTGAAGATTCCATTGTGAGGTGTGTGATTTTGCTAAACAAAAATGTGTAAATTTTACCATTAGCAATAAGATTTTCCCACTTGTGAGCTTACGTGGCTTAGGCAACCACTACTACAGCTAAAAATAAGGGACATCCATGAAACAAAGCTTATTTGTGACAATCAAACTGCACTTCACATTGCATCAAACCCAGTCTTCCATGAAAGAACCAAACACATTGAGATTTATTGTCACTTTGTTAGAGAAAAGGTGCTCTCTAGAGAAATCGCTACTGATTTTGTTAACTCTAGCGATTAGCTAACTGACATGTTCACCAAGTTCCTTAGAGGCCCTCGAGTTGAGTACATTTGTAATAACTTGGTGCATATGACATATATGCTCGAACTTGAGGAAAAGTGTTACAATGTTATCAACTGTTAAAAATTTGTAGGAAATTAACAGTTACATATTCTAGGAAATTAGGATGATTAATTCCTAATTATTAAGGGGAATTTATTATAATTGATTCTGAAAATTAGTATAAATACATATTGTGTGGTCTGCATTAGACACAATACATTCAGCAGATATACATTTCTATAAAGGAAAAGGTAGATAATGGTTTGATTTGCATGCCATATGTGTCCACAAAAAATCAATTTGCAAACATACTCCCCAAAAGGTTGTAATGCATTAACTTTGAAAGAATTATATGAAATAGAGAAATGGAGAACACTTACCAGCTTGAGGGGTAGTGTCAAAATTATGTTGCTTAGGAGGTTTTATATTTTATCCTTGTTACGATTTCATTATTTATTACAGGTGTATCTTGCTATTAATATATGTATTTAAAAATGATCCCATAGTTATGGGGATTTTGTTTCCTTAGAATCAGCTCTCTAATTTCTAAAATAACTAGTAGGCAAATGTTTTTAAAGTTATAATGGCCTTATTGTTGAAATATAGAATAAATATATCACTCTGGCTAAATTTGAGATGGTTTGCATAGTGTTTTTTAAGATTTTTATTTCTTCCAAGTCCTTCTATCTTGATCTAATCATTAGATAAGTTCGAAAGCCATTGGTTATGTTATGAGAACTTTGTGGTTTAGTTACATTTTAATAGATTAAAATGTGTTTTAATCTATTAAAATGTTCTGAGATTTACTAGAAAAAATAAAGAAGAATATTTTAATAGATTAAAATCACTTAAAAAGAAAAATGTTGTTTACTTGGCTCTATTATAATTGATTAAAATAAGTTTAATGCAATCAAATCATTTAAAAATAATGCTTCAGTGATTTTAACATATTAAAATATTATTTTAACAAATTAAAACCCATACATCATGAATATAAGTTCAATTTTAATCGATTAAACTGGATTAATCAATTAAAACCATCAAGTTTTCATATATATCTCCTTTCTTAAAAAAATTAATCAAACAAATTTCATTTACTTAGAAAAAACTTTACATTCGAAAGAGACCTTGACTTGAGATTAGCAACACTTCTTGAAGTTGTCTTGCTTTCTTCTTGTGATTAAAGTCTATGATGACTCAAGAAGGACATTTTGTGCGATCACCTTAATCTTTCTTCTATATTGTGCTCAATCTTTTTTCAGGTGATCTTGTTCTAGTAGTGCATGTTTTCATCTCATTGTCTGCTTGTATAGGGCTTCCCAGCTGATCTTGTGATAGGGTGTCACAAACAGGTCGACCTAAAGTCTTGTAGGGTTTAAGATCTAAGTCCTTAAGTGTTTTTCTTGTTTTTTAGTGACTGGAAAATCTTGAAAGATTAGTGGATTGGCTTATAGTTTGGATATAACTCTCTTTAAGAGTGAACCAATATAAATCTTGGTGTATCTCTCTCTCTACATACAGTTGCCATATCACCTATCACGACATACATGTTGCATCTTAAGAAATATTCAAAATATTCTCTAAATTTTGCCAAAAGTTTATCCACATTATGTGAAATCAATCAATTAATTAAAAGGTTGACATCCTATTTCAAAAATTAGCGATAGTTCAATTGCGTCCCCCTCTTGAATTCAGTCTTTGATTTTAAGGGAACCATTGCTTTTGTACATCTCCAAACCATATGCTTCAAGCTCAAAGCTATGTAGTAGACTCGTGATTTTTGACGAGTTTGCCCAAGCTTACTGAAAAATGAGTTAACCAGTTTCAATGGTGAAGAATGGAAACTCGTTTGAGTTTGCATGTTGACTCATGATTTTGATTATCATGCATGTAGGTGTTTTTTCCAGTATGATAAATAATTTACCTGATTTTCTTTCCAATTTTCCTAAAAAGTGCACCATCCCTGCACGCAGCTATTCCCTTTTCCAAACACTCTTCAGTTACCTTCCAACACATAAAGCATCTACTCAATGAAAAATTTAAATAAATGAAATGTTGATGAGAAAAAACCAAAGAGATAAAGAAAGTGATATTTGGTCAATAATAGTTTGCCCATACTATCACAGTCAAATCAGTAATACAACAAAGTTTATTTTCTCCCATAATCAACAGATAATTAGTTACCTTGACAAAACTTTTCAGTTCATCGCTGACTTCCCCACAAAAATATGTTTTTGATGTGTCTCTATGATATCCCTATAGCATACAGAAGGGTATTAATTTCATATAATCATAGAAAGGCTTTCATCATATTAATCATTAACACTAAAAGAAGTAAACATCATAGAAAGAATATAGGTAACCCACATCCAAAATCCAATAAACTAGACCACACAGCTATTCTGTTTGACAAAAAAACGTAAACTACCATACTGAACATAAAATAAATTCACAAAATAAAATTTAATGAGCCTAAATTATCATGAGAAATTACAACCACGAATAACATGAACATACTTTTTTACAGGAACATGGTAAGAAATTCCTACTCCCTCAGTGTCTACCTAGCTTTTTAACCACGTTATAAACAAAAGTGTAAATTAAACCAACAATGATACAATATANTCCCAAAAAATCAATTAGTAAGGTGAGATTTGCACCCACATATATTGTTACGTACCTGAGTACGTAAACTAGCCAAATACAACCTTTCACACTCTCTCACGTAACAAAACAATAAACGAATGATATTGGATGAATGAATATCTTTTATTGATGGTAATATCTAAATAAACAAGGGTAAACAATAATTGGGAGCATAACCTCCTTCAATTACTTTGAGAGCATAACCTCCCTCACAAGACAATAATGTTTGTCACAAAACTCAATAATCAAAAGCATGTCTTTAACCCTAGACTCAAACTTTATTTATATTAATTATTTCCCGCCCATCTCTTATTAAATATTTCTCTAGAATATATCTGCATTTAATATAAATATCCTTATATTTAATATTTAATATAAATATCCCTATATTTAATATAAATATCTCTCCGTATATTATCCTTAATATCTTATATTGAATATTTCCCTGAATATATATTTATTTACTATAATTAACTTATACTATATTTATTTACTCTAATTAACTTATACTGAATATTCTCTCTGCTTCCCACCGTTCGGCCTGGTCACGCCCCGTTGTCCACCGTCCGACCTAACCTCTCCATGCCTTCCACCGTTCGGGCTAACCTCTCCATGTCTTCCACCATTCGGCCTTTACGGTCAATACCGTTCGGCCTCACTTCCCTCCTACCTTTCTTCTCCTTCTCATTACCTCCCACCTTATACCCTAACATATATACTATAAACTCATCTTATCTCTAGCCTATGTGAGACATCCAACAATTTTAAATACCAAAGAATTTTGTCAACTGCTTCCATGTGTCTTTCTCTCAAATCATGCATAAATTGACTTATTGGACTAATTTCATAAACAATGTCTAGTGTCTTGTGTGATAAATAAATAAGTTTTTCAACCAATCTCTTATATTGGATGTTTTCTATAAGAGAACTCTCCACTTCCAATTTCTCAAAATTAGAAGAAAATAATTTCTCTCTTATTCGGTATCATTACATACATCTAATATATATATATATATATATACACACACACACACACACACACACACACATTAATTGGATAATTTAGGAAGCCAGCACAGTCTATTCTGGGAAACAAATCACTGAGATTGTTGGATGATATGCTAGTAATAAAACCAAGACACAACCAATATACAAAACTAAAACCAATAGGATTAAAATCTTAAACTTCCTAAAATATATTGACAAAATAAAATCTAAAACTTCCAAAAATATCTCAACACAATTCTATGATATAGTTCAATAAAAAACCTGAGGTTCTACATCTCATCTTTCCTATTTCATTGAGAAGTTCAAGTAAATATTGTATTATAAAGATTAAAATCCCCCTTCTCTAAATAAGCAACCTTTATTCCAAGGAAATAATTATTTTCCCAAAGTCTTTTATTTCAAAACAAACTGCCAAGTTTTTATTTAAAGTCACTTTCTTTGTTTTACAATCTCTTGTAATAATCATGTCATCCACATAGATCAATAGTAGTATAATTTTATCTCTAATGGAGAGTTTAATAAATAAAGTATAATCTTTTTGGCTTTGTTTATAGCCTAAGTGATGACATAAGAGTGAAGTATTTATGATTCCACCCTCCTCGATATTGTTTGAGACAAAACCAAATGAAGAATGGAAGATGAAGTGTTGGAGATCTTGAACCAATAATGTTTTGATCTTGTTTGTCAAAATTGTGGTGCTCATTATGTATTTTAGGAAGTTTTAATTTTATCCTTGCTATAACTTTATTATTTATTACATATGTATCGTGATATTAAATACTAGCATTACATATTTAAAAACAATCCCATCATTACAGGGATTTGTTTCCTTAGGATTAGTTATTTATTTCCTAAACTAACCAACAAAAACATGTACTTGTAGGTCCAATAGCCTCATTATTGAAATATAAAAGGAATATATTATTCTTTCTAAATTTGAGATACTATCAGAGTTCCTTATCTTTTGGAGTCTTGACCGTGTTTATCAATCCTAAAACGCAGCCTTCATTGCTGCACCTCTCTTATCCTGATTACAGCCTTTAGTGCAGCACAATGCTTTTGAATGGCTGAGTTTGTGAATTTTGGAATTGAAATTAGGAACAGATCCCAGACTACTGGAAAATTCCAAAATCTTTATTTTGCTTACAGATTAAATGGAAAAAATGATCTAAAATGGTTTAAACTTATTGTATCCTAAAACGAAAAGGCAAGGTCAGACACCTGACTAATAATGCACTTGATGAAAATGGTTCCATAAATTAGTGATACCAGCATGTTCCTGGGATCAGCAAAGGAAATTTGGGAGGGAGTAGAATAAACCAATTCTAAGGCCAAGGATGCTGCCCAAATTTATTATTCAAGGGTTGTGGAATATAGTGAATAACTAGTTATAAGGTTAATCTCCCTTGTATAAAAAATACACATAGCATAATGTATTTATGATAAAGAGAACGTGGATTAAACCCCAAATACAAATAAATATGTAAAAGTAACAATTAACATAGGGACATGTTTCCCTAATTAACATAAAATGCAATATATATAACAAGGGTAAAAATTATGGCTGCTGAAAAGGGAAGCAAATCAGTTACAAATTATGACAATCAACTTAAGTCTATGGATAGAATCGGATCACTATAGAGTTATAAAAGCATAGTGTTCAGCAGACTTAGCAATCCTAAAAGAGTATGCTGGACAAGATAGAATCTGAGTTTGTGGTAAGCTTGAATCTTAAATATGATCATGTTCGAGTCAAAATTTTGGGAAAAGAGAAGGTTCTAGGGATTATTAAAGTGGTAACCATTATCTAGAGTGAAAAAAGCAGGAGAGGACTGATGTTGGTTACTCTAACTACTGAAAACTCAGCAGCGATAGTTGAAAAAAGAACACCAATTATTTCTAATTACAGAAAAAGTTGGGTTCCGAATTTGGAGAAAAAACATGAGGAGGTTTGTTGCACCTATTGCAACAAGCCAAGTCACACAAGGAAGACATAGTGAAATTTACATGGAAGACCCCCAAGCAGAGAATGGGGCAAAACGGAAGCCAGGATAGAGAATGGGAGCATAAAAATGACCCCAAAAGAGGGTAGGGCAAGGGCAAGCACTCATTGATAATAAACAAAGTGACAGACCTGCCTCTGTCCAACAAAAAGATGAAGACATAGAAAGGGTAAAATCCTTCCCTAGTGAATTGGAGAAGCTCACAAGTACTAACTTTTTAAAATATTCTGATAAGTTTCCATTTTCTTTTGGTCTTAATGCTTCAATTCCACTTTTTACTCATTATTGGATACTAGACCCTAAATTCTAAACCCTAAACAAGAAAATTTCCATAGGAGATATCTGAAAACAGCAGCAGGACCAAAAAAGCTACAAATAAGCCCATCATAACCTCCATAAGTGTCTCGCATGTCCCTAAATTGTCCAATAATTTTATGTCTATACAAAAACACAAAAGATCTTTCATTTAAAGTGGTTTTTCATAGCAACTCTTGTATTTTACAAGACAAGAACTCAAGGGATGATTGGACATGCTAGAGAATGGAATGGCCTTCACTACATGGAGAACCCTAATCAACCTATCAACAGTCACTACCTTATATCATAATCCACCATGACCCGTAAAGAGAAAGCTCAACTATACAGAATTGTCAGCTAGGACATCATTTCAAGTTGTAAATTTGAGTTTTCCTTTCTTTCTTAAGAATTTAAAGGTGAAGATTCCATTGTGAGGTGTGTGATTTTGCTAAACAAAAATGTGTAAATTTTACCATTAGCAATAAGATTTTCCCACTTGTGAGCTTACGTGGCTTAGGCAACCACTACTACAGCTAAAAATAAGGGACATCCATGAAACAAAGCTTATTTGTGACAATCAAACTGCACTTCACATTGCATCAAACCCAGTCTTCCATGAAAGAACCAAACACATTGAGATTTATTGTCACTTTGTTAGAGAAAAGGTGCTCTCTAGAGAAATCGCTACTGATTTTGTTAACTCTAGCGATTAGCTAACTGACATGTTCACCAAGTTCCTTAGAGGCCCTCGAGTTGAGTACATTTGTAATAACTTGGTGCATATGACATATATGCTCGAACTTGAGGAAAAGTGTTACAATGTTATCAACTGTTAAAAATTTGTAGGAAATTAACAGTTACATATTCTAGGAAATTAGGATGATTAATTCCTAATTATTAAGGGGAATTTATTATAATTGATTCTGAAAATTAGTATAAATACATATTGTGTGGTCTGCATTAGACACAATACATTCAGCAGATATACATTTCTATAAAGGAAAAGGTAGATAATGGTTTGATTTGCATGCCATATGTGTCCACAAAAAATCAATTTGCAAACATACTCCCCAAAAGGTTGTAATGCATTAACTTTGAAAGAATTATATGAAATAGAGAAATGGAGAACACTTACCAGCTTGAGGGGTAGTGTCAAAATTATGTTGCTTAGGAGGTTTTATATTTTATCCTTGTTACGATTTCATTATTTATTACAGGTGTATCTTGCTATTAATATATGTATTTAAAAATGATCCCATAGTTATGGGGATTTTGTTTCCTTAGAATCAGCTCTCTAATTTCTAAAATAACTAGTAGGCAAATGTTTTTAAAGTTATAATGGCCTTATTGTTGAAATATAGAATAAATATATCACTCTGGCTAAATTTGAGATGGTTTGCATAGTGTTTTTTAAGATTTTTATTTCTTCCAAGTCCTTCTATCTTGATCTAATCATTAGATAAGTTCGAAAGCCATTGGTTATGTTATGAGAACTTTGTGGTTTAGTTACATTTTAATAGATTAAAATGTGTTTTAATCTATTAAAATGTTCTGAGATTTACTAGAAAAAATAAAGAAGAATATTTTAATAGATTAAAATCACTTAAAAAGAAAAATGTTGTTTACTTGGCTCTATTATAATTGATTAAAATAAGTTTAATGCAATCAAATCATTTAAAAATAATGCTTCAGTGATTTTAACATATTAAAATATTATTTTAACAAATTAAAACCCATACATCATGAATATAAGTTCAATTTTAATCGATTAAACTGGATTAATCAATTAAAACCATCAAGTTTTCATATATATCTCCTTTCTTAAAAAAATTAATCAAACAAATTTCATTTACTTAGAAAAAACTTTACATTCGAAAGAGACCTTGACTTGAGATTAGCAACACTTCTTGAAGTTGTCTTGCTTTCTTCTTGTGATTAAAGTCTATGATGACTCAAGAAGGACATTTTGTGCGATCACCTTAATCTTTCTTCTATATTGTGCTCAATCTTTTTTCAGGTGATCTTGTTCTAGTAGTGCATGTTTTCATCTCATTGTCTGCTTGGATAGGGCTTCCCAGCTGATCTTGTGATAGGGTGTCACAAACAGGTCGACCTAAAGTCTTGTAGGGTTTAAGATCTAAGTCCTTAAGTGTTTTTCTTGTTTTTTAGTGACTGGAAAATCTTGAAAGATTAGTGGATTGGCTTATAGTTTGGATATAACTCTCTTTAAGAGTGAACCAATATAAATCTTGGTGTATCTCTCTCTCTACATACAGTTGCCATATCACCTATCACGACATACATGTTGCATCTTAAGAAATATTCAAAATATTCTCTAAATTTTGCCAAAAGTTTATCCACATTATGTGAAATCAATCAATTAATTAAAAGGTTGACATCCTATTTCAAAAATTAGCGATAGTTCAATTGCGTCCCCCTCTTGAATTCAGTCTTTGATTTTAAGGGAACCATTGCTTTTGTACATCTCCAAACCATATGCTTCAAGCTCAAAGCTATGTAGTAGACTCGTGATTTTTGACGAGTTTGCCCAAGCTTACTGAAAAATGAGTTAACCAGTTTCAATGGTGAAGAATGGAAACTCGTTTGAGTTTGCATGTTGACTCATGATTTTGATTATCATGCATGTAGGTGTTTTTTCCAGTATGATAAATAATTTACCTGATTTTCTTTCCAATTTTCCTAAAAAGTGCACCATCCCTGCACGCAGCTATTCCCTTTTCCAAACACTCTTCAGTTACCTTCCAACACATAAAGCATCTACTCAATGAAAAATTTAAATAAATGAAATGTTGATGAGAAAAAACCAAAGAGATAAAGAAAGTGATATTTGGTCAATAATAGTTTGCCCATACTATCACAGTCAAATCAGTAATACAACAAAGTTTATTTTCTCCCATAATCAACAGATAATTAGTTACCTTGACAAAACTTTTCAGTTCATCGCTGACTTCCCCACAAAAATATGTTTTTGATGTGTCTCCATGATATCCCTATAGCATACAGAAGGGTATTAATTTCATATAATCATAGAAAGGCTTTCATCATATTAATCATTAACACTAAAAGAAGTAAACATCATAGAAAGAATATAGGTAACCCACATCCAAAATCCAATAAACTAGACCACACAGCTATTCTGTTTGACAAAAAAACGTAAACTACCATACTGAACATAAAATAAATTCACAAAATAAAATTTAATGAGCCTAAATTATCATGAGAAATTACAACCACGAATAACATGAACATACTTTTTTACAGGAACATGGTAAGAAATTCCTACTCCCTCAGTGTCTACCTAGCTTTTTAACCACGTTATAAACAAAAGTGTAAATTAAACCAACAATGATACAATATATAATAGAGGTACCTGCAATCACAGAATGAAAATACAAGAATTGAGAGAAAGGAAGCCAAGTTTCCAGAAAGCAGAGCTCTCCCTGGCAAGAGAGGAATCTCTTTGCTCCAAATATCCACACTTGAAAAGGGTTAGCTATCATTGGAAAAACATCTTTATTGAACTGATTCAACGTAAATCAATTCCAGAGGATATATACAAAGAACTCTACCCCTAGATAAAGATTACAATGATTTCTAGTATATTAAAGTAACACACTTGTAATAACTACAATATCTACTGCTGGCATCATCAAACAGCTGTGACAGCATTCCAAACGAACAAACTGCTGCAGCCAACACCTCTTATAGAACTCTCTGTGGCAGCCACCAAAATTCCACACAGCAGCAGCAATTTCCAGCAGCCACACTTGGCTTAGGCGGTGATAGCAGAAATAATCCAGCCACCAACACAGCCAATGCAGCAGCCATTTTCTGCTGCTCTAGGTGGCAACATGATAGGTTTCTGACAAAGAAACCCAAACTAATACTATGAAAATACTAACAGAACACTGTATAATCTCTCTTTTTATTATTCACAGAAAGAATACAAGTATAGAGCCACTATGAGAGCCTAACCTCCCCCTACAGGATTAACTCTTCCTGTACAGATTACTAACAGTCCAAAAGTTCCCCTCACAACTAACTCGCCTAACTATTTATACAAACCCATTCCCGCCTTTCCTAACTGTCAGGACGTTATGCAATTCAACATGTTCCAACAGAGGCCATCTTCAAGACGTGGTTTTACCTATGGTTTTACCTATCCTATTGCTCACAGGGATCCATGGTTAATGAACTTAAAAGAACCAAGAGAGTGGAATGAAGAAATGTACCTAGTATTGATTTGGCTATAGTGGAAGATGTCAATGCCATTGTGTTACGTACCTGAGTACGAAACTTAACCAGAACAACCTCTCACACACTCAAAGTAAGCAAAATAATAATGACATAATGGAATTGAACTAAAGAATTTCTTTTATTGATGGTAATATTGAATAACAAAAGTGAACAATAATTGGGAGCATAACCTCCTTCAATTACTTGGGAGCATAACCTCCCTCACAGGACGCATAGTCGCATGTCAACCAAACTCAATAATCAAAAGCATAACCCTAACAATAACCTCTAGCTTTATTTATACTAATTATTTCCCGCTCATCTCATACTAAATATTTCCCTAGAATATATCTGCATTTAATATAAATATCCCTATATTTAATATAAATATCCCCCCGTATATTTCCCTGGCATATATCCTTAATTATAAATATCTTATATTGAATATTTCCCTGGAATATATATTTATTTACTCTAATTAACTTATATTGGATATTCTCCTCAAATGTGGGTCCTTTTACTGTAATTGTTCCCTCCCATCTTCACCGCTATCCGTTAGGACCGCAACTCTTCAACCGATCGGTTACATTTCTTCACCCTGCCTCCTACCGTTCGGTTTGTGTGCCTCTGCCTCCTACCATTCAGCTTGCTTCACTCTGCCTCCAACCGTTCGGCTTGCTTCCCCATTCTTGATACCGTTCGGCTTGCATACCCCTACCATCTACCGCTCATCTTGCTTTACCCTACTGTTCGGCTTCCCTTCCTCCTATCCTATCACCCAATATCGTAACACATTGTGTCATGCATAATACATCTAAATGGCAGAACATGTGAGCTTAGAAGAAAGCACCAACATGACAGTAAATCAGTGCCAAGGGTCAAAGCAAATGCTGTTAGATGCTCCAAATGTGGCTATGGGCATGAAACTCATCAATGTCCTAATTGGAATGAAAGTTGCAGGACTAATGAAGACCTCAAGAACTATAGTCTATATCTGAAAGAGGAGGAAAGGAGGACATTGCAAAAGCTAGAAGGGTTGGAAAAAGAAAGACAAGAGCAAAGGCTAAAGAGAAAACAATAGAAGAAAGCACTAAAAAAAGAGAAAAATGGAATAAGAACTACAAAAGAGAGAAACACAAAGGAAAAGAGAGAGAAAGAAGACCAAGAAAAGAGAGAGAGGACAAGGAAAAGAGAGAGAAAAAAAGCAGAAAAAAAGAGTGAGGAAAAAGAAAAGAGAAAAAAAGAGGAATACGAAAAAAAAGAGGGAGAGGACAAGAGAAAAAAGAAGTAGAAAATAAAGAACAACATTTTGACTTCTCATTGGAAAAACATACTAACTCATCTCTTCTTGATTTGTTGCCTAGGGAAGATTTGATTATAAGGAAAAATGGCATAAAAAATGGGAAGAAGGAAGGATGACAGAAAAAGAAGACACAAGCTTGGAACTAGATGAACTTGTGTTTAATAATCTATTAGCATGTTTGCCAATTACTTTGGATAGTCAAAGTCATTCTTTTAGTTTGGCTATTTGTGAATAGGATCTTTGCTTTAAAATTGTTTAATGTGTTTTGCAGGTATTTGTTTGACCCTTAAGGCGGATCTCCAAACATTTGGTAATAAGAGATTGACCTCTTCCAGGATCCAAATCTCAATTTAGATAGCATTTTGATTTTAGACTACATTAATTTTACGTATTCAACACTTATTTGTCTGTAGTTAATAAAGTGCCAAAATTTGAAGTCAATTTTCTCCAACCCAAAGGCAATGATGGAAGCATGGCTAGGACCTCACAATGAGAGCTTAACCAAGAGAAGAGGCATGAAGAGGTTGCATTCCAATAAGTCAACAAACCCTTCCATGCCTTGACCTTGTTTAATATCAGTTTGCTCCGTCTCTGAGTTGCCGAGCTACCAAGTTGAGCTCTGACTTGGTGCTTTCAGGCTGCTGTGCTGCTACGCTGTCGGGCTGCTATATTGTCAAGCTGCTATATTGCCAAGTTGCCATGCTGTCGAGCTAACATGCTCCCAAGTTGCCATGCTGCCGAGCTGTCATGTTGTCAAGCTATCGGGCTGCTTTTATGCCTATCTGCATGGTTGACCTGAAGCTGTTAAAGAAGGTTGAAGGTCAACATTGAGTCAGAGGCCATCCATATGCTGCTACCAGGAGTGGTGCCCAGCGTGGGATCTCTAACAATAATCACTATCAATAAGATGCTTATTTTAGCTTTAGTCACCACTACCAATGCATGTTTATCCATAACCAAGGAATATTTTCCTTCCCATCAAAGGATGTTTACATGGGAAGAAATGAATATAAATAAGCTAAAACCAAGTTCAAGTACAAGAGCAACCCTAATAACTAAACATTGTAGCTGCAAGCACAAATAATAATATAAAGACAGAGGAAAAGGATGAAAGAGAATTAGAGGAGGATGAAAATGTAATTTATAATAAAACTCCAAATAGTTGTATAAATAACAGACATTATTAGAAAGTGGGTTTTTAAGCCTAACTCAACCCCACAAAACCGGCTTGTAGGGTGAGGTTTGCACCTCACTTATATATTATAATTTGGCCTTATCTCTAGTCGATGTGGGACTTCCAACACACCCCCTTCACGCCGAGGTATAGACATCTCGTGCGTGATAGTAGAAATTGGGTGGTCCGATAACGGCCCGATAGCGGGTGGAATAGAAGAATAGAATGCCCACTTAGAACTCGCTAGGATAGGCTCTAACCATGGCTCTGATACCATATGAGAAATAGAGAAGATTGGGAGAGAATATCCCTTGTGTGTGTTGCATACACATAGTAACACCTATACTTACACCTAAATAAAATTTAAGAAAGAGAGAAGCATACATCCAGGTAGACTGTCACATCAATGTTAACAATATCACCATTCTGCAAAAAGTGACAATTATGAGTAGTTATGGAAAGAATGAATGCAAAAGGGAATGTTAGAAATAGTAATCATAATAATAATAATAATATAGGCTTGACAAACCTGTAACTGTCGAGAATCAGGTATTCCATGGCACATGCACTCATTAACTGATGTGCACACACTTTTCGGAAATCCACCATAGCCAAGGGGAGAGGGATAAGCACCAGCATCAATTATCATCTGGTGTACTTCTTTATCAATCTCATTAGTTGTTATAGAAGGCTGACAGTTTAAAGTAAGATTAAATTAGATTAAAATATCAGCTCAAAGTAGATTATCATACCAATTACACAAACCCAAAATATAAAACATTGGGTTATAAATAAAATTTAATGAATGCTGTGGACAAAAAGCCCATTACAGTTTTAAATAAGCTATAAACATTCACTGCCAAAAAACATCCTTTAATTGACCAAACTTTTAACATTGCTTATGGTGGTGCATCTTACTGATAAGGGAGTCCTGTGTTACAAAATGAGGTAGGCAGAGAACAATAATTGGGTAATAATTTTCCTTGATTATTTGAAGAATAATACATAGGTATTTAAGAAGGAAAAAAATCCTAATTAAGGAAATAAATCTCGTGAAATAAAGATCCTAAATCAGGAGCAAATTTACCAAATAACTCCTTATCCCAATCCCTTAATTTTATGGATTTCAAATAATCTCTATATTTATTGTACAATAAATATTTACACATATTCTGACACATCCCCTCAAGCAGAGGGATAGATATCTGTCATTCCCAGCTTGCTTATGTGATTGTGGAAGAATGAGCTATTAAGGTGCTCCTTGTCTTGAACTTGATAGTTGGTATTTGATAATTTTGTATTTTGTTTAGGCTACTTAGACATATGTAAATAGGTATTTAAGTTTTGTTTATCACTCATGTGTTATGACTAATGTTGAAAAGCTTTCTTTCCTATGGTCTATGTTGCATTTAAGTTTGACTAAGTCTTTTAAAGTGTGACCTGTCCCTTAATCTTTTCAATTTTTTATAGTATTCATATGAGTACTGTTAGGGATTCGGGATCTCTAAGTCCTAACAAGTACATATGCCATATTTATGTAGCAGTAGGATATATGTTCTGTATTACGATCCCACAATTTATGATTTTGTAAGCCCTCATAATCCCAACCAAACACTCAATTTTGACTACCTCAATCTGAAGTTTCAAAACTTCTTCATTCCACTGTCAATAGAAAAATAAACAAAATGTGGATTAAAACTAATCAGTTTGCAAGAAGCAACTGGTTTATATAATAACCCTTGAAGAGATCCCTGAAAACTAATTTTCATTGCGAATGATTCACTTGCCAAAAGAAGGTTAAATTTGCAAAAATAGCAGTCATTCTGCAGTGACCACCATTCAAACTTCCATCGTCTCCAAATTGCTACTTACCATTTTCACCCATGACCTACCATCAAGATAAGCAAAACATACAACACCAAATTCACCCACCGGTCTTTCACACTAACCAGACAACTATCTCTATTAACCAAAAGTCATTAATAATTGGTCATTAATTCCAACATAGGGAGAAAAAAGTACTTTTGATGATCAGCACCAGTGTCTATGATAGGTATCCAGAATTTACTAGAGAATTCCAAGACAGATTCTTGGATGTCTTATTAGAAACAGAACAGAACAGTTCTACCAATGTGGTGAGAACAAGAAATATCACGTACAACACTCAAGGTCTTTCGAGAGGACCTGCCTGTCCTAACTTTTCCCCTTTTCAAAACACTCCAGAAACTCTCTGCTCACCTCCTAAAAAGACTATTTATTATAGTCTGTTACAGTTATGTAATTACAATTGTACTAACTACCCTCTTTTTTCCTTCTTTTTGTAAACTGTATCAAACCTATTAGTCTAAGTGTAAGAAGAAACCACAGTCAATGCCCCTCATATCAAATCTAATAAAATCAAACACCAACAGATGGTAAAGGCACTATACTAATAAATTTGTCTAGAAAAGCTCAAATGAAAGAGAATAATTAAAAAATTAGCAATGACCACTATCCTGCAAGAGAAAGCACCCAACAGGTAAATAAATGACGGAGGAAGTATGCTTGAAGGACGAAACTTTACCCTAACCAAAGTTCCTGCATGGTTTAAGACACGTGCTGCAAGCTCACATGCAGCCCTCATTTTAGCTATGCCTTCAGAATCATGAATTTGATGCTCACTTGCAATTTCTGGAAGTATATTTGTACCAACATAAGGAGGCCTTAGTATGTGATCAGGTACAGGGAGACCTGGAGACACTCGGCCCCGCTTTAATGGAGGCCTTTTCTTGAACTTTGTCACAACTCGAAGTTCACGCTCTCTTCATAGACCAAACATAAAGTAAGAATCTATAGTAAAGTTGCATCAACTTTTTTCTACTTCTAAATAGAAATATACCCTATTTTTGGAAATCAGAAAGCAAATGCAAGAGTAAAGAAGTTCAAAAACTTTTTTCAGAACAAAACATTTTTATATTGCTTATCAAAGAAGAAAGGGAGGAAAGAATAAATAGATTGTTTGATATCAATTCCTTGTATTCTAAGACCTAAATGATAGAACACTTACTAGACATGAAGCAGTTATGAGAAAGAACAAACGAAAGAAATGTACAACATTGATATCTCTCAATTTTTTTTCATAAAAGAAAGAGATCTAAACAATTTTATTTCTCATTTACAGTACACCGCGCAATTACAATTCAACATACAATATATAAAATACAAATTAGGANTAAATAAATGACGGAGGAAGTATGCTTGAAGGACGAAACTTTACCCTAACCAAAGTTCCTGCATGGTTTAAGACACGTGCTGCAAGCTCACATGCAGCCCTCATTTTAGCTATGCCTTCAGAATCATGAATTTGATGCTCACTTGCAATTTCTGGAAGTATATTTGTACCAACATAAGGAGGCCTTAGTATGTGATCAGGGACAGGGAGACCTGGAGACACTCGGCCCCGCTTTAATGGAGGCCTTTTCTTGAACTTTGTCACAACTCGAAGTTCACGCTCTCTTCATAGACCAAACATAAAGTAAGAATCTATAGTAAAGTTGCATCAACTTTTTTCTACTTCTAAATAGAAATATACCCTATTTTTGGAAATCAGAAAGCAAATGCAAGAGTAAAGAAGTTCAAAAACTTTTTTCAGAACAAAACATTTTTATATTGCTTATCAAAGAAGAAAGGGAGGAAAGAATAAATAGATTGTTTGATATCAATTCCTTGTATTCTAAGACCTAAATGATAGAACACTTACTAGACATGAGGCAGTTATGAGAAAGAACAAACGAAAGAAATGTACAACATTGATATCTCTCAATTTTTTTTCATAAAAGAAAGAGATCTAAACAATTTTATTTCTCATTTACAGTACACCGCGCAATTACAATTCAACATACAATATATAAAATACAAATTAGGACTATCAAATGTTGGTTCTGAGCAAGATTTGATGAATCTAACTTTCCTTGAAGATTGAAGACTTAGATGTGTTTAGGGAGTGTGTTTTGTTGATTACGACTTGTGTTGGAAGTCCCACATCGACTAGAAATAAAACTAATTTAGAGTATATAAGTGGGTGCAAACCTCATCTTACAAGCCGGTTTTATAGGATTGAGTTAGGTTTAAAGTTCACTTCTTAACAGGACTGTATTTAAGTTTCTCTTTGAGTAGCTTGACCTTACAAATTACAAGAAAGCTATTTTATATCAGTTTAGAACTTATCTTGGAGATAGGAAGCTTTTAATTTATTAAAAGATATTTTTAATCTATTAAAATGGTCTTATTTTAGTCTGGATTGAATGGAGAGCATTTTAATTGATTAGATATTTGTTTTAATCGCTTAAGATTACTCAGAGCCATAAGTAATTGTGTGGGACTTTTTTTAATATATTAAAACAAGTTTTTAATAGATTAGTCTTGTTGGTGCTTTCAAATGAATTTGAGCTTCTCTATTCCAATATGTTAAAACTCACTCAGTTTAATCATTAACTTCACTAGTAAGTGAAATTAACATATTAAAATGCAATTTTAATATATTAAAATTGCTAGTTTAAAATCTATGTAACTCTCTTATTCTGAAACTTTTTGACACGACTTTTGAACTTACATTTCTACTGTTGAGAGAGTTATTATTGAGCTAATACACGTTTCTTGGGGTTTTCTTCGAGTGATTTTCAAGATCATTCTCTCATTGTAAGAGAGAAACATTACGTTTCACCATGATTTTCTTCTACTGTTATGCTTGTTGTGTTTCAAGTGAACTTGTTTCATTGTATATTTTTTGTTTTCGTCTTGTGTTGTTGTTTCTAGATAGGGTTTCCAAGTCACAATACAGGAATAGGGAGTCTGCTACTAGGTTAGAAATTCAATCTTGTAGGGTTCAAGAGTTGATTTCTTGTACTGTTTGTATTGGTCATGTGTTTCCAATATTGTTATACTGTGAGCTTGGCTGGTGTGGCTGGACAACTAGATGTGGCTCATGCATGGAGTGAACTACTACAAAAACCTGTGCATTTGTTTTTCCCTCTCTCTTTATTGATGTTTTTGCGAATTATACTTGTTATTGAGTGTTCTTAGTTCTAAAAAAGTTTAGTAAAAGTAACTAAATCTTAAAAGTAATTGGACTAATAAAGTTTCATTCTAAAGCTTTAGAAAAATCTATGATAGTTCTATTCATCCCCTCTTGAACTCCTTATTCTAACATCAAATACCTCCATACAGGAGAAGTTCTATTTCAAGAATTTAACTACCCAAATATGGTATACTCCACATAATAACAACTCTTGTTATGTCTATTTTAGCTCTCCAGATTTCAAAAGGGTTTTCAGTTTCATTTGTAATAAATAGAATATAATTAATCAGTTAGATAGACTCACTTTGCTGACCCCTATTAAGCCAACACTCAAACATGCACATTGCCAAACAAATTTTAAATATACATTTTGGAATTTTCAGTCGTGGCGACCAGCGCCATAACGTCAGGCTGCAAGTGTGGACTCTATCAGCCAGACACTGCCGCAAAAACAATTTAAAACCTACAACACCAAACAAAAACTAAAATTTTGAACCCTTTCATGCTCTCGAAATCCAGATCATTAGCTTACCTTTTGAACTGAAACTTCCAAATTCAATCCACTAAAATACTATAAAAACAATAGCATAACTCCACCACGGTATAGAATATTGTTACCTTCTGATATTCATTGCCTCCTCCAGACCCGAAACCTTCCTCGCGAAAACCACGAACTGTTTTCTCGAGAGCGAATGGTTCCCTGCAACACACCGCAAAAGCATTCGAATAAGAGCTATTTTTCATTTAATAGTTTATTTATTTATTGTTCTGAAGAAATAAGGATGAATAGAGTTGCAATTGACGAACCATAAACGGAAGAAGAACGCGAGAGTGTAAGCGGAGAACTAATGAAGGATGAGGAAGACGGTAAAGCTTCGCCATGAAAGGGTATTATTGGGATTTTTGGAAATGCGTTGTGAACTAGAGGAGCAGTGAGCGCCATAGTGGAAGCAGAGGAGTATGTGTGAGTCTTGGTTAGAGGATAACGGAATTCGAATCTTCGGGGGATTTTGAGGTTTTAGAATGTTTTTGTCCAGGCTAAATAATTTTTACTTTTGGTAAATTTGTAAATTTTGTTTATCTTAATTTTGATCTATATGGTTTATATTTATGAATATGGATATCTATAAAAATAAAGTAGAGATTTTTAATAATCTTTTATATTTTGCTTTTTGTTTTAATAAAGTTTTTATTTTTATTTTTATTTTTATAAAAATTTTAGAGCCCACTGTTGATTTTGTTTTTTAATATAACAAGTGTTATAAGTATTAATAGTGTGGGTGGGTGGGTGT